CTAAAATGAATTCTTTTCCCAGCAAATAAAATTTAAGTTTGGAGATACCCCACACAAGGGCTAAACATTCCTTTTCTATGGTGGAGTATCTCGTTTCTGCGGGAAGGAGTTTCCGGCTTAGGAAGCATACAGGGAAGGGAGTACCATCATATTATTGTAGTAACACCACACCTAAGCCAATATTGGAGGCATCAGTTCTTAAGCAAAATGTTTTATTAATATCTGGAATCTTAAGTATAGGGTCATTCGAAAAGATGCTTTTAATCTCATTAAACTTTTCCCGAGCTACGTCGGAAAGTTCAAGAGGTTCCTTCACAGACTTTTTAAGGAAGTCGGATAAGATGCCTGTAAGATCAGTAAGGTTCGGGATAAACCGTGCATAAAAATTTACAGAACCAAGAAAACTACGCATGAGCTTCTTGGTTTTGGGGAATTTAAATTCTAATAAAGCTTTGATCTTACTGGGGAGAGGCTGTAGAGTGTTATTAGAAAGTATCAGTCCAAGATATCTAATCTTGTTATACCCAAGGAAGCATTTCTTCGGCTTGGCAGTGAGGCCATGCGAGCGTAACCTACGTAAAACTGATGTTAATGTTTGGATATGTTCGCCCCACGTGGATGTCATTACGTAAATGTTATCAAAATAAACTGAAACATTTGGCATATTACCCAAGACCTTTCTCATCAGTCTCACGTAGGTAGCACAGGCAGTTACCAAACCGAAGGGCATAGTTCTATATTGCATCAGTCCTTGGTGTTTAGGAAAAGCGGTGTACTGCTTAGAAGAAGGATCTAACATTACTTGATGATATGCCTGCGCAATATCAATCTCTGAAAAGAAGGAAGAGTCATAAAATTTGTGTAGATCGCTATCTATTAAGGGCATAGGCTCAGCATCCCACCAAGTTATAGCATAAAGGCCTCTGAAGTCAATAGCAAGTCTATATGAATTACCCTCCTTCTTAACCATGACTACTGGTGAGCAATATGCAGATACTGAAGGTTCAATGATCTTTAGTTTTAATAATTTGTCTACCTCTTGGTCAAATGCATCCCTAAGGTTAACTGGAACTGGGTATAATTTCCGTATGATAGGATTGTCAGTCAATCTTATGGACTACCGTGGAGGTAACACCTGGAATATCAGTAAAGACGTCTGAAAAGTTACTCACACATTGAAGTAGTTCATGTCTCTTATGGTCATCCAAAGATTCATTAATATTAATGTTGGTTGTACCCGAGTGGTCAAGAGTCACCAAGTCATGTAGTTCTTCATCATAGTCTAAGTTAGAGGTGTCAATTACGCACACCTTACATTCTTCAGTTGTCGTATCAAGTTCGTGTGGAAAAACTAAGTCAAAGTCATTAAGGCAGTTAACCGAATTTCTTCGGTAATATTTCTTAAGGATGTTGATATGATAAAGCTTAGGTTTCCCCTTGACTTCTATGAGGTAGTCAACTTTCCCACAAATTTTTAATACTTTATATGGACCTTTCCATGCTACTAATAATTTATTTGACTTGATAGGCAAAAGTACCAGAACTTCATCTCCTACTTTAAAACTTCTCCTCTGACTTTTTGGAATCAAAATAGGTTTTGTACTGGTCCATTGACAAGCTTAGGTTTTCGAAACTATGTCAGAGGTCTCCTCAAGTTTGGATCTAAGGTCAAGGAGAAACTGGTAAGAAGACTGAACCTCAGCCTTTACGTACTCATTAGTCCATAAGTCATGAAGGATGGACAATGGGCCTCTGGCCTGTCTACCATAGAGAAGTTCAAAAGGTGAAAACCCCAAAGAGTCACTGGGAACTTCCCTCATGGCAAACAAAGCACAGGGTAGGTAACGATGCCACTCCTTAGGTTTAAGGGAGCAAAGTTTCCTTAAAATGGACTTGAGAATCGAATGCTGGCGCTCAATCCTCCCATTACAGCTGGGATGATAGGGTGTGGTGAAGAGAGGCTTCACTCCTAGAAGTTGGTAGAGATGTTGCATTAAGTCAGATGTGAATTGTGTCCCATGGTCAGACAAAATTTCTCTAGGGATGCCCACTCTGGAGAAGATGGACAAAAGGGCTTCAGCCACCTCTGTAGTAGTTATGGTCTTTAAGGAAATGGCTTCAGGGAAACTCGAAGCATAATCAACTAATGTTAATATATATCTATGTCCCCCAGATGAAAGTGGAGATAAAGGACCAACGATGTCAATAGCTACTCTTTCAAACGGTACCGTAAAGATAGGCATTTTGACCATAGGTACTCGCCTGGTACCTCGGGAGGATGACAGTTGGCAAACTTTACACGATCTACAATAAGTAGTGACATCTGAGGACATTTTTGGCCAAAAATAGGTTTCCCTAATTTTATTTAAGGTTTTACGATGCGAGAAATGTCCGGCCACTGGCAGGTCATGAGCCATTTTAAGAACAGTCTCTCTGCATTGACTTGGAACAACTAAGATGGAATAGTCTATCTCATCTGAATTTAATTTGAATACTGACTTGTACAAGATACCTTTTATATATTCAAATTTATATGAAAAGTTTTTCCTTTGGATCACTTGATTTTGTTTAGCGGCATTATGGCAATTCTGAAGAGAAGGGCAATTACGTTGTAAATTGACAAAGGAGTCCTTCGATATATCTAAAGGCTTAAAGTCAGGGAAAATCAAAGGATGGACAGTAGGAGAAGCCTGGGCTTTTGTCTGAGCACTAGTCAAGACATTTATGGTATCGGAGGTGATATCTTCACTTTCATCTAACAAGTGAACCGGTGATCCTACTTCCTTGCTTTCGAGAGTAGCATCACTGGTTTTTAATCCCACATGAATCTCGCGAGACATTGTCTCATCTGAACTTTCGAAGGGCTTCTCTGACTCTACAGGAGGAGGATCTGAAACACTTATGTCCATCTTTAAGTGCTGAAAGGTTAACCTCAGAAGGAAGACTGGCACCTTTTACATTACCTATTAGTACGGAGCAAGAAGTGATGGGAGCTAGTACGGCTTCAGACCAACCTGTGAACCATTTAGACCTAATGTAACAATGGATGGTAGGAAAAGTGTCCGTACGGCCCAAGTAGTCTGAAAGTATAGCAGAGGAATGAGTTTCTTTAAGGTTAGGAAACAGCTTATCAGAAATGACTATACATGTGCATCCAGTGTCTTGTAAAATGGTAGATACATTAAGTCCATTAACTGTTCCTGAACAGAAGGGTGCTTGGTCATTACAGTCTTTAAAACAACTTCCAACTTTTTGGACCTTCTTAGAAGGACAATCTGGACGTTTATGTCCCTTAACACCACACAAATGACAAACAGGAATAAAAGAAGTCATTTTACTTTCCACTAAAGGCTTTGATTTCTTAAGGTCTGATGAACCCTTGCCCTTAGGGTTCGATCCCTTTAGGTCTTTATAGGAATTGTGAGCCTCAGCATACAGGTCAGCAGCCTCAGCAACTTCCTCAGCTTTAATCAGGTTACGTTCTCTGATGAATGTTCGTATCTGATGGGGAAGAGCTGTCAGGAACTGGTCAGCAACCATGAAGTCTCTAAGAGATTCATAACTGCGATCAATTCCTGAACTCTCTATCCAAAAGTCGAACAAACGAAAGAGTGTTACCTGTAGCTGCTGAAAGTTCTGGCCAGGCTGTAAGGTGGCATACCTGAAATCTTTCCTGTAAGAATTAGTGGTTTTTGATATGCTTTAAGGATTGCCTTCTTCAGTAGGTTATAATTACATATGATATCCTGCGACAAAGTTGCATAGATATTCAAAGCGGTACCAGAAAATAACATTCCTAACCTGGTAGCCCAGGTGTCAGCAGGCCATTCACAGAGGGTAGTGGTATTTTCAAACCTGATAATGTATGAGGTTATGTCTTCCCCCTCTGTGAAGGGAGGTAAATTAGGTGTTGGAATATGTGCACTAGCTGCACATTGTTCCATTACTCCTTCATCTAATTTCTGTTGTGAGAAGGTTAACTTTTTATTCTCTAATTCAAGGCGAGCTTGTTCGAGCTCGCGATCCTTTTCTCTCTCTCTCAACTCATGTTCTCTAGCTCTTTCCTCAATTTCTCTATCCTTTGCTCTTTCCTCAAGTTCCCTTAATTTAACTTGTTCTTCACGTACTTTAGCTCTCTCCTCACGATCAAGTCTATCACGCTCCTTTTTGTCTTCTCTTTCTCTTTCTATTCCCTCTCTTTCAAGTCTTTCCTGGATCTTAACACTAATGAAAGATTCTAAAATTTTCCCTGTTATTCCTAACTTACTTCCAGCATTCATCCAAAACTGGTATTCCTCCATATTTGCAAGAATAACTTAAACTACCAGGGGGAAATGAAACAGGTATTAAAGAAAACGGAGGGTTCAATTCCTGCTCCGCTCAAACTGTAAATAAACCAGAGGGCTCGATCCCTGTTTCAATTAAACAATATGTATTAATTAAAACGAAGGGTTCTATGCCTGCTCCGAGCAAACAGTAAGTAGAATGGGGTCACTTGATCATCCAATCTTCTCACCAACAAATCAAGAGTGTCCTACGACAGTTCCCTTGATATAATAAAGAGCTCAATGAAACAAATTGTCACTGGAAAATCTCGGGTCCCTAGAGTCTAATCCCCCAAAGTGTTTCAAGCTCACACAAAATTAGGTGGCAGAATTAAATATTATATCCTGCCTGACTTGACTTATAATAAATTGAGACTATAACTATCACCAAATCTTTTAAATACCTGTACTGTAGTCCTACCATAGAGAATGATTACTCATGGCTGGTGGTAACCGTCTGTGGTATGCGGCGTTGAAGTTCCAATGGTAGATTCGAGATGGAGTTGAATCTTGATTCAGTAGAGTTGATCCTGGCAAGGTCGCCACTTGTGAAGGCTTACTCAGCCCTGTAACAACTTCAGTCAGTATTACTCAGGCTGGCTCCTCCTCAGGAAAATTAATGAATAGAAAAAGAACAAAAACTGACAAATATAAACACTTTATTATTTAGGAAATATGAAATATAAAGCACTTAAATGTGAAATACTGATCCTACATGAAAGAAAATGAAAAATTATATTCCCATAATATAATTTCAATATTTGTTTTTGAAACTATTGTAATGAGAGTAAAATTACTGTCAACTATAAATATAAAAAAGATGTACAACTTAGACAAACTATGATCAGTTTCTTTAGTATTAAGTAGTCTGTAAGCCATCAAATTAAGTCTGCCCATAATGGCTCTCTTTGCACTGCAACTCATTATTACAATTTCATAATCTTAATGTAATCTTGCAAAGAAATAAATATTGTTTGTTTGTTTGTTATATGCTCTGTATAATTCTCATCAGTGGCTGTTTTCAGACAGCATTGTACTTGTAACTGCTTTTTGTATTCTGCTTTCTGTAATTGTTTTTATATTCATTTCAGATGAGAATCGAGAAGACATCGCATGTTTCCTCATAAGAAGTGGTTGTGATGTTAATGCTCTGCGTAAACCCGGTCCTGGTGGCACCGGAGGAGAAGAGGCTACTGACCAGCAGACTCCATTACACCTTTGTTGTTCTTGGGGACTTGAAAATACTGTCCAGACCTTGCTTGAGCATGGTGCCAAGGTTAATGCAAAGGTAAGTACTCCATCACATAATTCAACATGCCTACAACTCTGATTATATATAAAAAAAATTGTGTTATTATCATGATCCATTTTCTGGCTGAATTGTTTTTCGCTGCTTATTCTTTTTCTTGCATGTCAATGCCTTTCTGTTTAGCTGTTTCTCAGGTGCAGCTTCCATCTGTTTTCAAAGGACACTGGTCAACCTGGTGACCATGGAAACTGATGGTGGCCAGCCTGGTGACCATGGAAACTGAGGGTGGCCAGCCTGGTGACCATGGAAACTGATGGTGGCCAGCCTGGTGACCATGGAAACTGATGGTGGCCAGCCTGGTGACCATGGAAACTGATGGTGGCCAGCCTGGTGACCATGGAAACTGACAGTGGTCAGCCTGGTGACCATGGAAACTGACAGTGGTCAGCCCAGTGATCACCATCAGTTGTGGTGTTGGCTGAAACTGACTTGCTACATGTGTTTGGTAGTTGTGTAGCTGAATTCGGAAGATGTCTTTGTTAGCATGAAACACATCTTCCATCTCTCTTGAAACTGATGAGTTTGTCACTGGGTGTAGACTTAACAGTTTATTTGTAGCAGCAGCAAAAGGTTCTTGTCCAGGCTTCAGCAATATTTTCACTTTCAGTTTGCTACCTCTGGCAGTTACCATACAATTTTTAAGGTCTTTGCTCTCCACAGTTGACTTTTTCATCTCCTGAATGTTCATCAGCTCATTATCATGTGATATGATCGGATCTTCAGTCTCTGTCTCCTTTGTATCACTAAAATCCTCTCATAGCTGCTGTTTTTATCCTCACTTTTCCAAATCATCATCAACATTGAGCAAATTATTATTCACTAAATGTGTGTGTTATAAATTTCTTAAGGTTTGTGTTTATGGATGACTGTTAAGCAGATCCTTAAAGTTGAGGATGCAGCCCTCTATGATGTGAGTTTCAACATTTGTTTACAATGTGTTGCATTATTCTCCCTCATGTTATAAATGTGCTGGAAGGTAGTCATGATGCAGAGACTTGTGAATACAGCAGTCACTCCTTGAGCTACTTCCAGAGCCAGGCCATGGGCCAGGCTCTGGGAGTAGAAAGACCCTGGAAACTCATCAAAGGTATATACATGGTCTTATGGTGTTTTGTGTGTCTTCATGCATGTGTTGCCTCACTGCCTCTTCCACCTACCTCAGGTAATCACATTCTTTAATTTTCTTTAGTCATTTTCCCAAAGCTGTACGGTTGTTCTAGAAGTTTGCATGAGTTGGGGTGTAGAGGTCCCAGGGAACAAGATTAACCCCTTAACTGTCCAAACTTAGATCAACGTTTTCTTGCCCAGCGCTCCAAATATTTTTTTTTTTTTTTTTTTTTTTTTTAAATAAAGAGGACATTTCTTATATGTAATAATCTGAAAAAATAATTTTAGAGTCAGTACTTATGGAGATATAAGGTTACAAAGTTGGCTCTTGTCACTCACCTGACGGCAACATGAAGTGCTGCCACTTGCAGAAGTATTGCCGATGTACCTTTTTTTTCTATTTTTTTTTTAATTTATATAATTTTTATGTTCTGATAATTACAATTTGTAGTAGTGCTTGTGATTTCATAGCCAGTCTTTGTTCTGACACTAATATTAGGTAGTGAAATAGTACTCAAATAGTCATAAACACAATGACAGGTGAACATTTTCACCTACCTTAGTCATGTACTATTGTCTAGAAATATATACATAGTATTTATAGGTCCCAGCAGTGTTTTAGACACACAGGAGTATACATATATGAAACTCCTTGAAGCATGGTGTAACACGAGAGCCACGCCACTACTGACAGTGCAGCAGTGGAATGACATATGATGATCGTGCACTGCCTTGGCTTTATTTGTTTTCACTGTTACACATGAGCATGTCTGTCTGTCTATCTGTTCATCACTCTGTGTAGCTCTCTCTCTGCTTATCTTTCTGTCTGTCTGCTTGTCTCTCTTTCTGTCTCTCTGCTTGTCTTTCTGTCTCAGAGAGAGCAACTCGTGAACCAACAGGTATTACACACTATGCAGAGATGCAGAGTAGTCACGTCTGATTCTCGAACAAGTGAAAATGCGTATTACTTGCCAGTCATGCTTATTATGAATTATGTCTACAAGGACAGTGTAGCACTTTTTCTGGATTTTTTGGGTTATCCTAGGTAATTTACACTATATATAATTGTATTTATGGGTACCTGTGAGATAGAATAGAGATAGCCAGAGACAGAGATAGATACAGACAGACAGACGGAGATAGAGACAGCCAGTCAGCCAGCTGCCAGCCAGCCACTGGCCAGCCTGCCGAACACGTATTACACATTCCAGAAGTTTCTCTTTACTTAGGGCATAGGGTGTTGAACATTCTGGCAGGATAACACTACCAGTGGCACCAAAATTGAAAGGATGTTACACGAACGTTGCACATGGGATATTGTCGAGGTTTTTGATATTTCCTGGACCACTTGTGGCCACATCCACCTCAAATCCACTAAACTTGGGGTCAAGATCACTTTCCTCTTAAAAGGGGAGTGTTAATACAACATGACATCAGTGAATCCCTGGTGTTTGCCACACTGTTTGCTCTAGCTGGCATTCAATTGAACTGGTTCTCCCACAAGATACTAAGAGGTCCCAGATTTTTTTTAATACTGCACACACTGAGTGTTAAGACCCATTCTGTGCTGACCAGGCATCTCAGGCCAATCGTGAAAATATTGGAGGCAGGAAAAATAAAATGTTGATCTACATTTGGAGTGCTAGTGGTAACATTGTAGATGTACGTTTGTACAGTTAAAGGGTTAATAAAAAATTAAATTTGCAAAATTAAGTTATATAATTTTTTTTTCAGATTTGGGTTTATTTTATGTTTCAAAGCTCATGTTTCTCTAATGTATTACTGTAATCTGGTTAATGTTGATATTCATGATATAATAACCAGGATAATATTAAGGTTTGGGTTAGAAAACCATTGAGACAGACAAAAAAAAAAAAATGATATTTGAATCTATTCAATGAATGATCAAAATCTGTGAATTCAGAAACCTGTGAATTTGTAGAAATGACTGTATATATTTTTTCACTTTTCAGGATGCAGAAAACAAGACGCCTTTGCACCATGCCATAGAGAACTCCCACACAACCATCATCTCACTCTTACTTTCCCACCCTGCCTTGGACTTGACATTAAGGGATAAATCGGGAATAACTCCATTTGCTGCTGCCATGTTACGGAAGAACAACAAGGCAGCACAGGCCATCCTCAGTCGGGAACCAAAGGCAGCTGAGCAGGCATGGCAGATATAAGTGATGTTATTGAAGATAAGACACAGGTGCAGAGCAAGCTTTTATTACAGCTTCATAAAGCTCTACAAATGGCAAAATAATCATAAAAAGTAAAAACTTGTCTGCACCTGTGTCTTGGGAGAGGTAAATTGTTTATAGTACATAATACAGTGGAATCTAGGTAGTAGGTTGGTAGACAGCAACCGCCCAGGGAGGTACTACCGTCCTGCCAAGTGAGTGTAAAACGTAAGCCTGTAATTGTTTTACACGATGGTAGGTTGGCTGGTGTTTTTTCTGTCTCATAAACATGCAAGGTTTCAGGTACATCTTGCTACTTCTGCTTACACTTAGGTCACACTACACATACATGTACAAGCATATGTATACACACCCCTCTGGGTTTTCTTCTATTTTCTTACTAGCTCTTGTTCTTGTTTATTTCCTCTTATCTCCATGGGGAAGTGGAACAGAATTCTTCCTCCGTAAGCTATGCGTGTTGTAAGAGGCGACTAAAATGCCAGGAGCAAGGGGCTAGTAACCCCTTCTCCTGTATATATTACTAAATGTGAAAGGAGAAACCTTTGTTTTTCCTTTTGGGCCACCCCGCCTCGGTGGGATACGGCTGGTGTGTTGAAAGAAAGAAAGAATACAGTGGAACTTCTACTTACGAGTTTAATCTGTTCCGTGACCTTGCTCGCATCTCAGTTCGCTCGAGTGAGCTTTCCTCAGTTAAATTAATTGAAATGGAATTAATCGATTCCGGTGGAATTCCAGGCACTACAAAATACTTCAATATTTCCCTAATATCAACTTTACGGCTTATTTACCTATCAAAATTCATCTAATATGACATAATAAACAATATAAATAACATAGAAACCTGATGTATACTCTAGAATGAATAAAATATGTCATTATGTGACAGGTGGAGGTGGCCATAACTGCTAGTGCATTGTTGTGGTATTCACTGCTATCTAGTGACATGACAGCCTTTCAAAGCCGTCTATTATTATAATTATTATTATAGTACATTATTATTATACACCTACCATCCGACTTATGACCGAGTTCGGTTCCGAGAAATCGGTCGTCAGTCGAAATGGTCATAAGTCGAACTTTACTACTGAATATCAACATCACATTTTTGTAATGACTTTATTTTATTGTTTTATTTTGGTATTTCATGTTTTACTTTACTTTTTATGCTGTTAGTACTGTATTTTATACTGTAAGGTTTAGGATAAACACTGTGTACAACACAAATAGTTGTTTATTTCCCAGAAATTTGGCATAAAAAACATGGTCGTAAGTCGAGTGGTCGTAAGTCGAACAGGTCGTAAGTCGGATGGTAGGTGTACATGTATTATTATTATACATACAGTGGACCCCCACCTTACGGTATTAATCCATTCCTGAAAGCTCATCATATGCTGAAAGTATTGTAAGGTGAATTAATTTTCCCCATAAGAAATAATGAAAATCAAATTAATCCATTCCTGACACCCCAAAGTATGAAAAAAAAAATGTTTTACCACATGAAATATTAATTTTAATACACAAACTGACACTTACCTTTATTGAAAATCTGGTGATGATTGATGGGATGGGAGGAGGGGAGAGCGTGGAAGTTGTTAATGTTTAGAAGGGGAATCCCCTTCCATTAGGACTTTAGGTAGCATGTTCTTTCCGAGGTTACTTCCCTTCTTCTTTTAATGCCACTAGGTCCAGCTTGAGAGTCACTGGACCTCTGTCGCACAACATATCTGTCCATAGAGGCCTGTACCTCCCCTTCCTTTATGATTTGTCTAAAGTGGTTCACATTGTCATTGTAATAGTCACCAGCACAGCTTGCAATAGCTGTGTGAGGGTGATTTTCATCCATAAAGGTTTGCACTTTAAGCCACTTTGCACACATTTCCTTAATATTTGAAGTAGGCAACTTCTTCAATTTCTCTCTCCCATCCTCCGAAGCAGTTTCCTCAGGTCTGGCCTCTTGCTGTTGAAGATGATCTTGCAGCTCATCAGTGGTTAGTTCTTCATTGTCCTCCTCCACCAACTCTTCCACATCCTCCCCACTAACCTCCAACCCCAAGGACTTTCCCAATGCCACAATTGATTCCACAGCTGGCATACGCTTCTCAGGGTTAGCCTCAAATCCTTCAAAATCCCTTTTGTCTACACATTCTGGCCACAGTTTCTTCCAAGCAGAGTTCAAGGTCCTCTTAGTCACTCCCTCCCAAGCCTTACCTATAAGGTTTATACAATTGAGGATGCTAAAGTGATCTTTCCAAAACTCTCTTAGAGTCAGCCGAGTGTCTGTGGTCACTACAAAGCACTTTTGAAACATAGCTTTTGTGAAGAGTTTCTTGAAGTTTGCAATGACCTGCTGGTCCATGGGCTGCAGGAGAGGAGTGATATTAGGAGGCGAAAACTTGACCTTAATGAAGCTCATGTCCCCAGAAAGTCGCTCTGCCAAGTCTGAAGGATGACCAGGAGCATTGTCTAATACCAGGAGGCACTTAAGGTCCAATTTATTTTCCATGAGGTAATTTTTCACAGTGGGGGCAAATGCATGGTGTAACCAGTCATAGAAAAGGTCTCTAGTGACCCATGCCTTACTGTTTGCCCTCCACAGCACACACAAATTAGCCTTGAGGACATTGTTTTGCCTGAACACTCTGGGAGTTTCAGAATGATACACCAATAAAGGCTTCACTTTGCAATCACCACTAGCATTAGCACACATCAAGAGAGTAAGCCTGTCTTTCACAGGCTTATGTCCTGGGAGTGCCTTTTCCTCCTGAGTAATGTAGGTCCTGTTTGGCATTTTCTTCCAAAACAGGCCTGTTTCGTCGCAATTAAACACTTGTTCAGGTTTCAATTCTTCACTGTCAACGTAATCCATGAATTCCTTCACATATTTTTCCAGCCGCTTTTTGGTCCGAACTGGCAGCCTCACCATGCCTTATCACACTATGTATGCCACTATGATTCTTAACCCTTTGACTGTCGAGGTCGTATATGTACGTCATAGGAGATACCGTGTTTAACGTATCTATACGCATAAATTCTAGCGGCTTCAAATCAAGCAGGAGAAAGCTGGTAGGCCCACATGTGAGAGAATGGGTCTCCATGGTCAGTGTGCACCATAAAAAAAAAAATCGGGGAGCCAGTGGTGCATTGTGGGAATACCATTTCAGTCGTCCTTTTTCAGCATGTCTAGCGGTAAGAAATATGTGACTTCCCTGCAAATCTGGGACTCTTCTCTTCCCAAGTGATGCTCTAACACAGATGGAAGTGTCAATGAAGATAAATTTTCATGATTTCGAGGAGTTTGAGACCAAAAGCAATGGAGGAGGTGGAGGAGGAGGAGGAGGAGGAGGAGGAAGAGGAGGGAGAAGAAGGGGAGGAAGAAGAGAGGAGGAAGAAGAGGAGGAGGAAGAAGAGGAGGAGGAAGGAAGGAGGAGGAGGAAGGAAGGAGGAAGAGGAAGGAAGGAGGAGGAAGGAGGGAGGAGGAGGAAGGAGGGAGGAGGAAGAAGGAGGGAGGAGGAGAAGGAGGGAGGAGGAAGAAGGAGGGAGGAGGAGGAAGGAGGGAGGGAGGAGGAGGGAGGAGGAGGAAGGTGGAAGGAGGAGGAAGAAGAAGAAGAAGAAGAAGAATAAGAATAATAATAATACCTAATACCTAATAATAATAATATGTAATAATATGTTCCCTTGAGGCATGAAAACAGTTCACCCCATGACAGTGACAAGATAAGGGGAGATAACATCTGATAAGAGCTGACCTTTGATGAGCGTAAACGAGAGTGGAGGGAGGGGGCAGCTGTCCATCTGTCAAGAGCCAGGAGGAGGAGGAGGAGGAGGAGGGAGGAGAAGGAGAAGAAGGAGGAGGAGAAGGAGGAGAAGGAGGAGAAGGAGGAGAAGGAGGAGGAGGAGGAGGAGAAGGAGGAGGAGGAGGAGGAGGAGGAGAGGATGACGACGAACAAACATTTGTCTATCTGTCTATTTGTCTGTCTGCCAAACTCCCTGTCTATCCGTCTAGCTCTGTCTCAGAGAGAGCCACAAGACTGTGTCATCATCACGTTTACTCACATCTTCAAGCAGAGTATAGCACTTTGTCTGGATTTTTTGGGTTATCCTAGGTAATTTACACTATGTATAGTTGTATTTTTGTGTACCTGTGAGACAGAGATAGACAGAGAGAGAGAAAGAGAGACAGATTGAAAGAGATAGAATGAGGGAGAAAGATAATTAGATAGAAAGGAGGGGGAAGCAGCATCCGACCCCATTGTTTTGACAGGCGGTAGGGGGAGTGACTAATGGGGACAATATGTCACTTTGACAGCTGCCGACTCCTGACTCAAAAACAATTATAAGCCACACACTCGCACACAAGACAAGCTTGCTGAAGGGTGATAATAGGAGTTTTATGAAAGTATCTAGTGACTATATATGTGTATATATATTATAGAAACCAGAAGCAAGAAGGGAAGGCAGGAATGAAGGAAGGACTAGATGAAAGGAAGGAAAAAAGTAATGAAGGACAGATGAAGGAATGTAGGAAGAGAGGTTGGAATGCCCTCCAGGTAGCCTCCAGGTAGGAAAGGAATGAAGGAAATTAGGAAGGAAGGAATGATGACACACGACCATTTACCTAGGATAACTACATAACACAACTGCCTGCTAATACTTTGAAGAAACTGCTCAGACGAGGTGTTTTGTCTTTGCACATAAAAAAAAAATTCAACAAAAATGCACACACACTGATTTTATGTGTGAGAGTGTAAAACACCATTGTGTATGACACCATGTTTTATGTGTGAGAGTGTAAAACACCACTGTGTATGACACCATGTTTTATGTGGAGAGTGTAAAACACCACTGTGCATGACACCATGTTTTATGTGTGAGGAGTGTAAAACACCACTGTGTATGACACCATGTTTTATGTGTGAGGAGTGTAAAACACCACTGTGTATGACACCATGTTTTATGTGTGAGAGTGT